GCCGACGAGGCGAATTCATAGGTCCGGAAATGCGCTATCATCGACGTGCAGAGAGCGCTCCGGAAATGCCCCCGTTTGATCGCAGCTTTCTCGGTGGCAATCGCTTTGTCACCACCTCAACCTTAGAGAACCCCGATGTTCTGTACGAAGAAGAGGAGGATGCTTTTCTTGCTGCCACCGGCGATTCTCAGCAGGAATCTGTTGAACAACCAGGGCCGCAGGTAGCCGCATCCGACATCGTTGAAGCAGATAGGCAATCAGAGCAGAGCAAAGACAGCTCTGATACTCTGACACACCAACCGCTTGCTCAAGAACTCAACAAGGGCGATATATCTCACGCTGGTCTTGGTATACGGAAGGACGAACCAAACGATGCCACGGACATTGCTGCTACACGCCCGGATCAGGAGGAACAGAAGTCCGCCGCAGAGCAGGCCTCGCTCGCTCAATTCCACAATGCGGCTAATCCTTTCTCTGCTCCGCTACAAAGCTCGACAGAGACGGACAGACAGGAGTGGCACCATAAGCCCGTTCCACCGAGTCCCGACATCTCGCCTCGATTCATGCCTGCTGACCGCGCTACTACCCCATTGGAGCTGACCCCTAATATCCCTCCGTTGTCTCTCCAAGGCAACAATTCCCTTCCAAACTCTTCTTTCCCATCTCCCGACTTCACGCTGTCTTCCGTCGACGTTCCTCGCTCAGTGACGACATCGTCCACGACCGATCGTAATTTTTCGAACCCCTCATACAATCCGTCCGTGGATCTTCCTCAGGGTTCAGTTGAGGATGTGCCCTCACTGACCAGCAGTGCGTCAACCACAACGAACACGTTGAACCGAATTTCCGGCACGTTCTTCACTCGTCCTCGCTTGTCCACCGATCGTTCGGCGTCTTTTTCTGCCGCTGTGCGCCGTCGTACCAGCCAAGCTCACAGCTCTAAGAGATCTAGTCTCGCCAGTCTCTCCAAGCTGGTTGTTGGACCCCACGCAGAACGCAGCAAGCTTAGCTACGAAGAGAAGCCACCGGAAGATGAGCCTGAGAGATCCAAGAAGAAGGGCCTTCGCATTAGCAGGCTCATGCACTTCTGGAGGACTAAAGACAAGGACAAGTCCTGTCTTGAACATGGTGTTCGGGATCAGCGGCCCTCTTGAGCCATCACTGCTGTGACCATTGTCTGCCCCTTGTACATATCTAACCTTATGATTCTCTTCGACGTGGTCTTTGCAAGATCTCTTTTTTCCACCTTTATCTCTTCTTCTTCTTTCCCCTTTTTACTTCTTTTTCTTTTCATTTTTATTATTACTCGGACCGGTTCGCCTTTCTGCGTGTTGGGTGGTAACTGACGAATTTCTTTTTCATCGACATGTGGTTAAGCGTAAGAGTATGAAAGCTCTATCTTGTTTTTTTTTTTTTTTTTTTTTTTTTTT